AACGAGCATAGCCTGCACTGAAAAGAAGCAATTGTACAAAATATTATGTATAACAATAGAAATGAGTGTATTATTATTTCTTGATGATTAGAAGTGGCAAACACTCATTGTATCATCCCTAATGAAGAGAAAGACAAGAAGGGAAATGGAAAGAGTTTAAATAATATAGACTATGGCAGCATGTTTAAGCACATTACTTTCCATGCAGTGTGGTCCAGTATATCCTGTATTACATATACATGATCCAGTTACATGATGACATACTCCACTATCATTACAATAACAAGAGTATTCACAACCAGGACCATATCTATTATGTGGACAAGCTATAAAAAAAGAAAAAGTTATATACATCATTTAAAGAGGACTGACTAACATTTCTCACAGAGACTACCATACCATCCTGCTTTACACTTACAAGATCCTAAATGTAATGAAGAGTAAAACCTTGTATGTTCATAGAAGTATAAAGTTTTTCTCTCTTAAAGTTTTTCCTCTCTCTTTCTTCTACTTTCTGCATTTTTACTTCCATTGTCTCTTACCATTAGTACAAACTCCATTTCCATTGCAATCAGTTTCATCACAGTTCAGTAGTTCACATTTTTCCCCACACCATGGAGAGACACAGGGAGTAGACCCCCCACCACCATCATCATTAGTAGAACTATCAGTGTCATTAGCAACATCATGAACACACAACACTGTTGATACTTTCCTTGGACATAAGTAAAGCTTCTTATCCTCATGACTACGGATAATAATAACAATAATAGCAAAAATTGTTAAAATAATAAATATCTTTTTCTTTTTTACAATGTTAATGTGTTCATACCAGTAGTCACCAGGATAGTTTACAAGAGTTCCCTCTACTAGTAACGTGTTTGATCCACCTCCATCAAGATTAATAGCATTGACGACACCTCTTTTAATAAGAATATCAGCAAATTTAAACAAATTGACTCTATAAAATAAAAATAGAAATACAGTCTAATAAAGAGAGAAAGGACTGTATCAGTGAGTATATCCATTGCCAATTAATTATGTGATTTAGTGTACAACTTTGGCACAGGCTTATGTGCTATGAGTGTGTGAAGGGATACT